GACAAACACAAAAAAGGAGGGGAGATAAAGACAACAGATATTTGATAGGAAAGAAGAAGAAAACCACACCAGAGCATCCGCCAACCACTCACATATATATATAGGCTATATATATAATATAAATATAAATGTATAATATATATATAATATATAATATACAATATACATATATAATATATATATATATAATATACATATATTATCATTATTATGTAAATGTAAATTTGTGTTTGTAAAGACCTGGCCTACGGCCTACACTACAAAGCCACAGCACACAGCGTACCTTAATTCCTCCAACAACTCCATGACCAAAAATAGGAGTTTCCCTTATAATCCATCCTGAAAAAATCGCAGTTTTGGGGGGAAATAATCACAGCGTACAGAACTCTAGTTGATTAAGATAAAGTTACAAACTGAAAGTAGCAAATAAACGAATAGGCTATAGTAACCTTTACTGTTTTAGTAAGGATTTTATGGCACTTGCGACATAAGGTCATATAAGTCCCAAAGATAAGAGGTGTTATAGGAGAGTAGCAAACACAAAATAGAAGGAGGAGAGATAAGGACGATACATGTTTGATAGGAAAGAAGGAGAAGGAACAAACCACACAAGAGCATATGTACCCGCCAACCACCCACTTGACGAAAGTTGACTCTAACAAAAAAATAAATAATAACATTTATACAAACGTTTATGAAGGATATGGCTCTATCACGGCTCAGAATAATCTCTTTTTCTCAAGACATCATCACTGCGTTACGTGTATTACAGTACTGTTATTACATTTTTCATAGAATGATCCAAATGTGAATGGGGGCAAGGGACACACACAAAAATCAAGACTTTCACTTACGCCATGAGAACCGAAATCAAAGTTCCTCTATGTAGTAGTAGTATAAGGTTTTACGGCGCTCGCAACTGCTAAGGTCATATGAGCGCGCGAAACACAAGTTGTTCACTTCTGCGAAAGTTCACTTCACGACTGGTAACTAATTTGCTTTAAAATGCTAAAAAGTTAAAATATTCAAATTCGGTGTAAATACATTTGTGATCTAAAACAACTTTTAAGTAACAATAAAAATTTTAAATAATATCAGATTCACTTTACAACTCGCCATAAAGGCCAATGGCCTTTATAAAATTTAAAATTCTGCTGGGAACAACGACGGAGAAAATATCCTGCAATTTCTTGCATTTATAATATTTCCTTCGGATCTCTCCAAAGTCTAGACATTCTGTTAAAATGTGTCTAATGGTAAAATCTGTGTCGCATCCGACACAGAACGGCTTCTCCTCTCCCTGTAGTAGGTATTTGTGGGTCAGGGCCGTGTGTCCGATGCGCAATCGAGTAAAAATGACTTCGTCTCTTCTGGAGAGATCCGAAGGATTTCGCTGTTCTAGTCTGGGTTTAATTTCATATAATTTATTATTTTTCTGGTTTTCCCAGTGGCTCTCCCACAGACTGGAGGTGTACTTTTTGACTTTATTTCTAAAGTCAGTCTGTGGGAGAGTGTTTGTCGTTGATCCCAGCAGAAGGGATGAAGCTTTCTTCGCCAGGTCGTCTACCTGCTCGTTTCCTCGGATGCCCACATATCTCCTTCCCACTATAGTTAAAAGTATTTTAAATAAAACTTTAAAAAGTAAGAATAATCTGGAACAAAATAAGATCAAATAGATTGGGATAAAATCAGTTTATTGTACATAATACGGTACTCATGTTATTTACAATGATTGCTTAGTAGGCCTACATATGTTCAATGCTATTACTCTCATGAACACTCACAATAGATCTAACTAATTACTAAGGAAAGAAAATGAAGAAAATCTCTCTCTCTCTCTCTCAATATCACAGAGTATGAAGTTGCACTAAAAAACAAGAAAAAAAAAAAAATTTTGAGTTTTATTTCTATTATTCTATACATGATTCATTTTATTGTTAAAAACGTATGTAACATTAGCATATATATATTTACATAAAATTTGAAAAAAGGTAAGATTTCCTGAAAACAAGAAACATAAACATAATCATAATATTAATAATGATGAGAACTAGAAATTCCTTCTATGGACATCCAAGAACAAGAAAAAAATATCACATTTGAAAGAGTGTTTTGTCATTTCTTAGCTTGTGAGAAACTCACACCTTAATATATTTGTCACTGTCAACAAAACGCAAAATACAAAGATTTATCATGTATAATAAAGAAAACTTAAAACAAAAACAAATGTATGAAAAAATTATTCAGACACATCAACCAAAAAGGACTAAGGACTACATAAAAAAAAAATTAAAAGTCAGGCATTTAATACGGCCAGAGTTGCTACAAAAAGGAGTAAAGGTCAGGCACTATATGAAAAACAGAAGAGAATAAGATAAACAGAGCAGAGATATGATCATAATGTCATAGAAGGCTTCTGAGAACCTGCTGGACACTAAAACATAGATCAGGATTCAGATAGACAGTTAAGAGTTGTTGAAAATGACAAATGATCATGAACTATTTTGAACACACAATTAAATCAACCCATCCCAGCTGTCATAACAAGATGACTGTCCTCACGCTGACTAAAATAAACGTCTGTCACAGGACTCAAACATTAAAGTACATGTACAATGCATTTTTAAAGAGGCAAATGAAACAGTAGAGGGCTTCAAAAACATCTTTTTTTTTAAGCTGATGGGGGGAGGGGGGCAAACTTCTAATTGACAGCCTATCATGGAAATCTTCTTCAAGTAGTCAATTTGAGATATATATTATGTAGGTCCTGTATTGATGTAAATGTAAAAAGAGAAGAGGGGACCTGTCATTAGGTTCATCAGGAGGCAAATGAAAGAGATGAATGTAACCCCGTGACAAGGTATGTATATTGGGTATGCAAGGTTAATACTCACACCTGATACTTATAGTAATACGACAAAGGTTGCAGTGGTTATAAACTTACATGAGTGCACATTATGATGATACTAATAAAGGATGGCTACAGCCGAACGTTATTAAAATACTAGTACAAATTGGAATTTAGCTTTCCTGGTGACGTTCAAATATCAACATTGTTGGTCTATATAAACGTAAAATTTATGAACTTGATGAGGATGATGATAATAATAACAGTTCATCCATCATGAATTGATGATGACCTTTAATATCCAAACAAGAATTAAAATAATTAACTTAGCCGGATACTGCACGTAGCAAGCATGGTAAAGAGAGCAAAGTGAAAGAAATCATAGCAAGCAACTTGTAATGAACATGAACGAACTCAACGCAGATAAAAGTGCCTTTCCCTTTCCTAAAGAGCTGTGCTTACCTGCCTAAACATATAGTTGGTTAAACTTTCATCTGACTTCTCTTGTGACCTTTAAGAGCTATTCTTTTGGAGAAAAATGTTTCACAAACAATAATACCGGTACTAACATAAATGCAATATAAACTATTTTGTCCTAGTAATACATAATGGAACTTCAAGCTACAAAGAAAAAACGAACAACAAATAACCAGTGTCTGTCGTGTAGCAGTTACACGCTTTGCTGTTGCATGCAAAAGACCCAAGTTCGATTCCCGAAAGGGGAGAATTTTTATCCTATATCTCAGTCTTTCTTTTCTGCAGGGATGTTGTATCCCTCTCAGCATGGGTTGGTCAAGACAGGCTGGGTTGGAAACCCACCTCCAATTAAAAATTCACGATCTAAATCGTGCTGATGGGGGCTTTAAAAAAAAAAGATTTAAAAAAAACAACAACAGATGAGTGCAGAGATGACACCACATGATTCGTTAAATAAATTTCTTGTCTCTAACTGCCACCAGTACATAGCTCTCTAAATCTGACTATAATATAAGCTTTTCCCATTACCTCAGGCTTGTACAACGTAAAAATACCAAACTGATAACCACACCTCCATTCTGTTTTTACGCAAAGAGGACGTAAGAGTCCGAAAGCTTACTTTCTAAAGTTTGGTCCTCAATCCTGTGGGTGAGGCACGGAGACCTGGGTGTCTGTATCCTGTATCCAAGCTCTACCCTAGACAAATCGTGCCCAAGACTTGCCGTGTCAGTCCTGAATAACGCACTATTAGATTCGAGTGCCCTCGCTGAGACAGGCTGTACCATGAACTGGTGCTGAAAGACAATACCCGGTCCGGACCAGATTTTGTGCTATGGACCAAACTCAAAGAGGTCGTCACATATCTGACGGCATGCGTCAGGCTGACGCCCTTCATGGGAGGCCAGTAATAGAAGAAGAAGAATGAGAAAATCCAGCTATATCTTGCAGTTCATTGTTAACCCTATCCGTACGTCGTATTTTACTATCGTATCCATATGACGTGGGGAACTCTGAGCCACCACTTCCAAAGAGGAAATTTACTCGTTAATCCGATCCGTACGCTTTGCATAGCAGTCTGTCATAATTATTTTTTGAGAAATACTGAAAGTTTCGAAGAAATCTTCATACTAGAAGTATTCTAAAACGTGATGTGAAAAATACAACCCCGGGGGTACAAAATGACCCCAGGACGTACGGATAGGGTTAAGTGCATAAAGAGCTATACTGTGCAGGAATGGGGGCTATTGGATTTATCTGCATTACAAAACAAATTGACATTACAGCTCAAACTCTGACACCTCACAACATCATAAATAAACTATTACAGTAAAATTTACATCCTTACCTACTCTAAGGTATCGAATAAAAGGGGTGGACAAGAGTTAATAAACGGGGGGGGGGGGGGGGGGGGAGGGGCGGCACATTCAACCTCATACCCCTGTACTAGCAGGAACAAATCTGTTTTATTTCTCCTTCAGTGAATAAAAGAACAAGAGATCAAGAAATTTTTGTGATTTTAGTAAGTTACTGTGACAACTTTTCCCATTTAGTATTTAGGAACAAACCAATTTTATTTAAAAAATATAAACCAATGTACAAAAGTTTTTAAAATGCACAGAAAATTGAGACAGCCAACCCGGTATCGCTACTTATACTGAGGGTAATTTGCCATTTACAAAAAAAAAGGGTGTATCATTCAAATATATATAGATTCTAGATATAATGTTTCACATGACCATCGGTAGTGGGACGCTGGAATATAATAAATGAATAAATGAGGGGTATGGAGTAAGGAGCCGGCGCAAAAAAAAATGAAAATTAATAAGGGGGGGGGGGGGGGGAGGAACGCTTGTTTGATACCGTCGAGTAATCAAAATCATAGCACATATGAAATAGAGGAAGATAGAAAAGAAACAAAGAGAAGAATTAATGGAGAGGTAGCCTACATGAGGAAGCAGTGAAGGTACCGAGATCCCCTTGCAAAATTTAAAAAGACAAGTGACAATGGACAGTATTACTCAAATATCAGTACCACTATGAAGAACAGCTAGGCCTTTGGGTTAATAATACACAGTGTTCTTAGTTATCAGGCACATCTTCCTGCCCCAAGTCTGTTCTCAGGTGCTCCTTCTCTTGGAGACTGTAGATAAGATAGCACTCGTTGCAGTAGCCAGAGCTTTTATCATTCCCATAACTGGGACAGCCATGGGTCCTGCACTTCTTCAACTCACGTTCAAAGGCTTGTAGCATTTGCTTGTATCCCTTCAGGTTATCGTTATCAATGATGGAAACAAAGTCAACGCCAGGCGGGACATCAGAAGGATTTAAAGACTCTGGTCCCGTCAGGTTTGGCTGGTGAGCATGAAGAAAACCCTGCGGGGCTCTGCTCAGACTTGTAGCCATCTCAGAACTGGGGGACAGATTCAAACTCATGGGGGTATAGGACTGATGCGTGAAGCCATACTTTGACTTGTCTGTGGGTTCACACGCAGAAGAGACGGGCAAGTGGGTGGTTGCGGTTGTGAAAGCTTCAAACCTAGGAAGCTTTGAAAACTCTTTGAGACTTGCCTGAAAAATGGGGACTTTGGTAAACTCATTATCAACACCCTGACTTCGACTGATATGTTGAGTTTTGCCAGTGCAAGACAACGTAGTTTTAGAGTGTTTGTGATAACTGTTTGCTTGGTTTTCTTCTGCCACTGCTTGTGCAGATGAGTTCCATTTGGAAGGCTGATTTCTGTGAAAACAGGAACTGCACATATCTGCATTTGCTGGGTCACCAAAATAGCTGCATCCAGGGGAAATGCAAAGTTTCCCACGAACCAGATGTTTTTTCTGCACCCTGCCATATGTGTCTGTTGACTTTTTTGACACATTTCTCGTGTCAGAAGGCACAGGTATCGAATCTAGTTGCATAACATCTAGCTCTCCAAGAGGGCTTTTAGGTTGAGTGTTTCCTGGTGGAACTGAAATTGTGTCCTTATGGTTCTCTGTTTGCAGTTTGACAAATCCGTTCGGAACATTTTGACCATGTGGACTCTCATCAACCTGAGTAGTTGATGGGCTGTGAGTTCTTAATATTTCTTTACAATTGTGACAAACACCCTCTGTAGGCTGAATCATTGTGACACAAAAAGGACTCGAGCATTGGACCTGTTGCCTTTTCTGAGCATGATCTGAATGACAGCTGGCTTCTGCTTTCACTACATTGCAATGTTCTTTAATCTTAGAAGACATATTTTCTGTAACAACTCGCACTGCATTATTTGAAATGTCCCCCTGATCACCTGAGCGCACAGGCACATCAGCTGGCATTGACGATGGCATTTCCTGCATTGTCGAAGATATCGGTGGTACTTGGATGTTCTTTTGGTCATGACCTACTTTCTGCCATCCGTCTCCAGAAGGAGGCGTGTACACCTTTGAACTTGAAGGCAGCAGCGCAGTTGGCTGTTCCACAACTTCGGTGTTACTCTGAAGCCTGTCGTGGCACTCATGACAGTAAGGAAAAGTGTGCTTAGAACATCTGTAGCCACAGCCATTCGCACAACGAGTGGACATCAGGGAAAGAGTTTCTGGCGCGTGCGACGGGAAGTTTCCAGAAGGTGGGGGAGCTGTAGGGACTAAAGTAGCTGGTGGCGGGGGCCCAGTATCCAACTGGAACTCATAGACAACAGGCACACCAGGCTCCGTCTCCATCGAGGTATTCCCCCTATCTTCTCCTTGTTTTGAGACGTAAAATTTCTTGTCTCCTTCCCCAATTGATACAAGTTCAGTGCCACTCTCTGCAATGGTCAAGTTCTCCAAGCACCCATCACACAATCCACCTTGGTTCATTCCTGCTGATTTTTTGCATCCAGGAGTGATGCAGTTGCTTGCTACTGTAGTATTTTTCTCTTTAATCTGCTCTGTCACTGTTTTTGACATCTGGTCTCCACCAAAAAATAAATCAAAGTCGTTGAGCTTCTCAGCAACAAAAGCAAGTCCTCCTTCTTCTTTCACCCTCTTTTTGGTTGGATTTCTTGAGTTCCGTTCATTTTTCACAGTTGACACTAAATCAGTCAATTTCTCTGCGATGGCGAAGTGCCTTTGGAACTCATCTGGTAACACACCTTCCAACACACTTGCCGCGTTTGGATGTCCAGGATATGGAAACTTTTCAGCAGGAGGAACATTCTTTTCTTTGTCTTTTTTAATCTGTTTCTTAGACTTTTTGGTATCTAGACCCTTTAGTCGTGCTTTGTGTGCTTCATTGACAGGTCTCACATAGGTGGAAACCACAGTCTGGCTGCTCACCTGGATGTGGTAGAAGGGGTTGGATTTTGAGGAATGCAAGGGTGGTTCAACGACAGGGGGGTGGATATGTGGTACCAGATCATCATCAAAGGGTGGTACTACGTCACGGTAGTTTGCAGCAACTCTAGACTGCTGTGTCTCAACACTCTGTGAGTGATGGAAATGGGAGTATACAGCAGGGACCTGCTTTTTGCTGCGCTGAACAAACTGCTGATAGTGCATTTCAACGGCATTCAGATGGAAAGGCATAGGTTTCAGCGACATGACCACACAAAGAACACTGACACCTTGTTGGCCTGATACCTCATCCTTGATGACCAAATAGTCCTGCAGCAGCTCCCAGACCACAGTCTCCTCCTCCTGCTTCAAGAACCTCACCGGCAAGAAGTTCATATCTTGAGTCACCAGTGGGAACATCTGTTTCCTGGTGCTGTCCATTTGAAACTCAGACAGTAAGGGAGAGAAGTGACATCCGGTGTTGGTGTAGCCTATGATCAGTGGCGTCTTGCTGCACTCCGCACGATTCCACTCCAAGGGCAGGTAGATCCCACCGATGTTATTTTCCTGGAGACTTGTTCCATCTATTGAACGTGCGGAACAGTCAGAGATAATAATGATGGGACGTCGGAGGATGTTGCACAGAACGTAGACATGAAGTGACTCAAGGAATTTGTGGGGGACTGCCGCAGATGCAGCCTGACTTGCAGTGCTTGCAACTCTGTCAACTATATCTTCCCATTCCTGCATCATAGCCTGTGTTGAGGAGAGGAATAAATGGGTTTAGGTAAACAAATAATAACAAACAAATCCTTGGTCAGAGACTCAAATTATTTCTAAAAAGTCGGTAAAAAAAGACATCTGGATAGAAAACAAAAAATAAAAATAAAACACCACAACACATAGTATTTCATACATCAGAAATTTAAATATTCCTGACAGTAGACAGGCATTCATTCAAATCAAAGGTTTATAAGTTTATAAGAATCAAACAGTCACAAGTCAATAACTTGCTCATGAGACTGAATGTACTCTACAATTTAATGCCTTCTCAAGGGTCAAAAGCATTTTACTGTAATACTGTAAAAAGAGACCAGCACTTCATTATAATACTCTTAGACCAATATTGATAATTCCAAAAAACTGAATCTGTCTGCAAGGTCCCTGATGGATGAAAACACTACCGAGCTTGTTGAAGTTTCAATACTTTAACCCGTTTTTAAAAGCAGTTCTTTATACAATAAAAGGAGGAAACAATCAGTGCTCACATAAAATAAAACAAAATAAAACGACTGTACTAAAGATAAATATAAAGCAGATTAATAATATCATAAACTGTAAATACATGTAAACGATAAAAATTAAGAGCCCCCCCCCCCCCCCCACAACACCATTTTAACATTTAGAGGACCAAAAAAAGCAATTTCAGAACATCTACCTTAAAATATATAAGCCCTGTATTATATTTTTATGTTTTTCTTTATTTTAAAGTGTATATTTTATTTGAACAACTAATAAGTCACTTGAACGGTAGGGGCCTGCCATGTAAAGTGTCCGTTTCAGTAGTCTGATTTTTTTGTTAGACTGGCCCCTGTGGGTGGTTGGCGGGTGCTCTGGTGTGGGTAGCTCCTTCTTTTCTATCAAGTACTTACCTCTCCTCCTTCTCTTTCGTGTTTGTAACACACCTCTAATCTTCAGTACTTACATGACCTAGTTGTGTTTCAAGTGCCGTAAAACTTTTTTTTAAAAAGAGTGATCCCGGATCAAATGATAGCTTCACTAGGAGTCTGGACAGAAACCATAGTGCCAAGTATGGACTAAAAGTGCAAGCTAGCCAAGATGATAAGGTTGTGGGGAAAGACTAGAAAGCAAGAAAACCCGACCAGCAGGGCCCTCACTCCCAATTACACTGAACTTTTAAATACCGTAACCATTTACAATAAAATACACATTTTTACAAAGGGCATTATAATATAGGGTTATCAACAGCCTGTACAATGAAGTCAACACAATTTGACAAAGGACAAATGAAATGAAAGGGATGAACTCTTGACAACAGAACGTGGAAAAACAACAACTAATCTTTCGATGCTTTGAACAAAACAGAAGTATAAGATTCCCATACTCAAAACATTAAGGGAAAATGTCAGACTCTATGGCATTAGAGGAAAAAGAAGACCAAGCCGCAGGAAACCAAGCTGCATCCATTTAAAACTCTTTAACCCCATAAATATTTTCCACATTTTGACATAATTTTTTCCAGGTTTCCTCAAACATGAAAAGAGGGTACACACGCAATATACAGTAGAACACGGACAGGCCGAACACAGAAGACTCAAAACCACACATCTGTTGAACTGTGTATGTGGTCTCGGTTTTTTTCTTCTTCTTTATTTCAGTAAGATATCCTTCGAACTACTGAGGCCGGTCCCGACAAATTCCAGATATCCGTGTCATATTGTATATATATTATATAAAATGGCTACAACTGTGTCAAAGAAAAAGCGGAAGTAAATTATACATTTCTCTAAAACTTCCTAGTCAAAGTAAATCTCTTCGGATTCGAAAGAGATTGCATTAGCAGTATTGTTTCATGCACCCTACGATCTGACTGGACTCTGGGATCGTCCACTCAGGGACCAGGCAAGTTCCACTGTGTTATAGAGTTAACAAAAGAACAAACCTCCTTCTCTGTTTGGATTACGTTCTGTGCATCCTGGAGTTGTTGACGGCACCAGCGTGTCCGGTACTGGTTGCCATAATCGTTTTGGAGGGTCATGAGCAGCAACTGTCGAAGAGTCTCCCCCCGGTCGTCCACACCCCACATGGCAAAAGACGCAGAGTGTAGCAAGCAGTTTCCATCTCCTGATCAACAACATAAAGGAACAACAGCTGATTACAGAGCATGATCACAAGGAGAAAAACTAAGAATGGTTACAGCATGAAATTGCCTTTGCTGACCTTGAGTGGAAAAAAATTTATTAAGAAACAGCTAGCACAAATAGACAAATACAGTCGAAATATTTCAAGATGGCCACCCATTGTTGAGGAGAAAAGTAACAAACTAATTAAACCGAAAAGAGCTCCATCTTAATTAAACAGAACAATCTCCTGGACAGGAGCATGGAAGAAGGAAAAAATACTTGCATATTTTTCTCTTTTGCAGAAACTGTAACAACTTCAGAAAGAGAGATCTATAGGCCTAGGGTATATATAAAAAATAAAATAAAACTGACTGTGTATGTCAGAAAACAGAAAGCAAAAAGACTAGAAGAGTAGTATTATATAGCCATGCATTGAAACTGAAACAACATAATATAAGCTTTATTAACAGCAATGTTAGTCTGTCTCTCCTTCTCTATCGTGTTTATGTGTGTGTGTGTGTGTGTGTGTGTGTGTATGTGTGTGTGTGTGTGTGTGTGTGTGTGTGTGTGTGTGGGGGTGTGAGTGTGTGTGTGTGTGTGTGTGTGTGTGTGTGAGAGAGAGAGAAAGAGAGAGAGTATATATATGTGTGTGTGAATTAGAGAGAGACAGAAAGAGAGACACAGAGAGAAGGAGAGCGAGAGAGAGAGAGAGAGAGAGAGAGAGAGAGAGAGAGCAAGAGAGAGAGAGAGAGCGAGAGAGAGAGAGAGAGAGAGAGAGAGAGAGAGAGAGAGAGAGAGAGAGAGAGAGAGAGAGGCAGAGAGAGACAGAGAGAGATAGAGAGAAAGAAAGAGAAAGAAACCTGACATGTTAGAAACATCTAAATCGAGTATCAATATAAATTAACAGGAAGATAGAAGGAGGCAGAGAAGGGTACACAATAAGAAGTACGACAAAAAGTAAAAAATTGATAGTTGGAATAGTAAAGATATTATCAATTCTATGGAGGCAAAAGGCTTGGCTTCATCTTATTGAGTCGTCGACAGTCTTCAATTTTGCTAGCGTCTGCTGATGTTCAGTGAAAAGCATAACAAAGAATTCCCTTGGAACCTTATTTGAGTTAAGCAGTGTCAAAAGGGCAATTTGAGACAGTTTCAGTTAGAAACTAAAAATAAAATGAAGTAGAATCTACCTAAGCCCAAGAAAAAGAAAATTAGTTTTTAGCAGGCTTTTTCTCAACAATACACTACACAAAATAGGACATAAACTCTGCCAGCTCCCCAAAAGCATGAATTGAAAAATATATATACCGGTACATGACAAAGAGAAATAAAACTATTTTTATTATGCTCTTTACGTGCGGAGATGGTATAGTGCTGTTTCAATTGCTATCATTTCTGCATCGTAGAAATTTAAAATTGTTGCATTTCTCTCCACAGGCTGCAGAGATCTCACGTCTCACAGAAATATGGTCGCTTTTACTTAAACAAATAACAAAGGGCGAACCCAGATTTCAGGGGTTTCAAGAAATGTTTACCTACACAAAAAGTGGAATTTCGCCCTACCTATAGGAGAAGTTTGGTTTCATTAGTGTGTGTATATATATATTATATAATAGATAGATCTATATAATATATTCTATTAGCAATGCCAATCGCCCGCTGCGCCTTGGGCCGGAAATCGGCCTCCGCGCGAGGGGTAATTTTTGGGCCGCTCGGAATCAAAAAGAAGTGACTCTCTTCTTAGTATAGTTATGGAAAAACTCCTGGACGAAAATAAATGAAACTCGGCAACCAATCAGAGGAAAGGTTATAATCCCGAACGATTACTAGAACCAGAGATATTGTCGTGTTTGTGCGAATTTCCTCTGCGGTTCGAAAACTAAGCGAAGCTGCGGGTTGATCGCCGACCACACAGGCGCCCCACATGTCTTCTTTATTGCTGTAAAATTTCAGATCTCTGCGTTTAGTAGATTTTACGTACCAACTTAAAATTACCACCCATCCATTGATAAAAAAACTAGAGCTGGAAACTAGATCTCCCATTCCAAACACGAGGTGCCGGCATGCAAGAAGCGCGTGATCGCTTGGCGGCATATGATTGGCTGCCTTTAACCAAATAGGTCACCGATGACTACTTCGCGGGTTTTCCCGATGCCCGATAGCGCTTTCATAATATTTCCACTCCTTAAGGAAAGTTGAAAATGAAAAATTCAGGAAGATAGAATGCTAGAACCAGGATCAAGAAAAAGCAGTCAAAATTCCTATTTCTTTTAGGCATCCTGACCACTAAAACTTCCTCGTCGGACTTAGGGAAATTTCAGTTGTCCACCACCTCAATGACTAGATCTATATATATAGGCCTCGCCATCCGTTATCGCCAGGACAGACCGAAATTTGGCCCTTGGCCTTGGCCTATCGGGATTTTCCAGTTTGTAATGGAAGGAAATATTATATCTTTGATATTATTATCGTGTTACATATCTTCGCTAGATCTAAAGTTGTCCACGACACTTTCACTTTCGGTATAAACATTGCTGATAGCATAGGCTTGCCTAATTAAGCCTAACACTATAAAGTTTAAAAAGGAGATACTCGACGCTGGGCTATGGCTGATAGGCTGATAGGCCACTACTCATACTCATGACTGCTAGTTATAGCCCGCTTTCCTATTATTATATCCGCCGTCACGAAGGATCTAATTACCTACTTTGGCTACGTTTCCGTTTCAGTTGCGGATTTCGGTTCGGTATCCAGCGCATTATTCTGTGGTATCCAGCTGCGGGCCCCGGGGGTCGTTTGAATCAGCTGTCATTTTCTTTTTCTTCATTGATTTCTTTCTTTCTTTCTCTTTTTTTTTTAGGCGGACCGAACTCGTATCTAGAAAATAATATAATTATAATACAACGACGCAGTGGAATCAGGTGCTCGTCAATTTTGGAACATATAGGCCTTTGGAGTTATTGGTATAATCTTAAAAAGACTCTCCATGTGCCTTGCTTTTGATGAAAAAAATATTCATTTAATTTATATCTTGGATACAAGGCGAGATATTTGAGATTTAAGGAAGTAGGTTCGCCTAATTACAGAGGAAAGATTAGCGAGAAAATGGCCGCCAAAGTTAAGTTATATCCTTAGCTTGAGAGTCCGTGGAAACCGAAAATTTTGATCTTTAATGCCTTTAATCAAAGTTTTCAGTAAAATCCACACAGATATATATATATATATATATATATATATATATATATATATATATATATATATATATATATATATATATATGTGTTTTTTAGAGGGCATGAATGGTGTGGAGCCAAAAAACAAAAATTCAATAAAAATCCTGAAAAATGCTAGTTTCTTGACTTTCATTATTTTGACGAGCGCCTCTATTTCACCACGCAGCCTCACAACTGTTTTCTTTTTCAAAGCTATGAAATACATGTATTGATCCAGCTTTGATTTATTCCAGAGACTAGATCACCGAAGTCTGAGCTTGATAATAAATTTTAATAAATCGATGGATCCGTAGTTCAAATGATGTCTTACAAAGATAAAGAAGAAGAAAAAATGGGACCACAGGCACAGTTCGACGGATGTGTGATCTCGAGTCTTCTGTGTTTGACTTTATATCCGTTTTATACTGAAGGGGCATAATAATATTATTATACTCCAATATACATTTTTAAAACAAAAAATCATATTTATCATAAAGGTTTAAAATCAAATACCAATAAAAGACACAACTAAAGAAGACAGAAGTTGTGTTTACAGTAATGTTACAACTCCACACAGATGTCACTTACGTGGGACTTTAACAGCATGTAGAGTTGACAGAGCACCACACCAGTTAAGGACCTTAGCTTTTTGTAAGTCATCCATCATATCACTGTCAATGACGAGCATCTTGTACTTAGCAAATGCATCACGGCAGAGCAAAGTCAGAGAGGGTAACTGACAATCAAAGTGACAGATACCTCCACGAAAGGAGTATGGCTTTCGATTGAGTTCGGCTCTGCTGTAGTCAACATTTTCCTTAATCCAGTCTTGCACTTTTGAGATTAGACTTGGATTGGACTTCAATATACCAGTATGCTCAGATGTAGACATGTTGCTCCCCTGTAAAAGTAAATTTATTTTGCATAAAATGTTCTGCTCCTAAGCCTATGCAGTTGAAAGGTATGCTCCTTGTTAGACAGAGAAACCTTGCATTCAAGGTCCAATAAAATCGTCTGGTTAAACATTTTATAATTATTTGACTTCTAAGCTTTGAAGACAAAAAAAAACAGAGTCAGGAGAACATTAGTATTTTATTTCGATTGTTGAAAATAATTCTCTGGGGGCAAGGGGCTGTCCCGAGAGTGCTAGGCTGTGTCATTTTTGGGGCATATGACGTTTTTGGTATCAACTTAAAGCCTGCCCATTTGCCTTGCTTTTGATGAAAAAAAATATACATTTATAATAGAGACACAAGTAGAGTTGGAGACAGAAGGAGGTGGAGACTGCTTGCTTTCAGAGGTAAAATTAGCAAGAAAATGGATGTCAAAGTCAATTTATTACCTTAGTCGTAGAGTCCATGGAAACTGAAATTTTACGTCTTTTTTGCCTTTAATTTCAAGCAACATTTTTCAGTGATATCCACACAAAAATTATATGTCCTTTAGTAGGCATGAAAGGTTTGAGCCAAAAAACAAAAAATTCGACAAAAATTCCCAAACCTGCAAAAAAATGCCAGTTCCTTGACAGTTATTACTTTGACGAGCGCCTCACATACTTCATGATCAAATTTTGAAATGTGGCTGATTTCTTACATTTCTAAAAGAGAGATTTACATCATCAGCTTATCGAATGATAAAAATGCAATTGAAAAACAAACTCAAATACCAAGGCTGATCATGCCCAAAAATGGTAACAATTAAACTTTCACATGTATCCATACGCACTCTCTTGCACTTGCACTGCTTTTGGGGCACAACAAAGGTACTTTTTGGCAAGCAGAACACAGTAAAGCTGTCGTAAATCAATTGTTTTTAACAAAATCTCAAACCTATTGCAAAACATCAAATTATGGTGAAGTGAAGTCGCGGGGGCATATGCCCTCCAGACCCCAAATCCTTGATTTTTTCTTAGGTCGGGGGGTACGCACCCCTGAAAACCCCACCCAAGATTTTTTAAAATATTGAAATTATAATTTAAAAAATAGGCCTCGTTTGAAAGATTGAATGATAAAACATAGTGAGATATACTTTTAAAAATCAATAAATCGATGAGATAATATATAGGGGGTGCCCCACTGAAACCCCATCAGATTTTTTTTTAAATTTAAAAATGTTAAAAACAAGTCAAATTTTAGATCTCTACTAGATTAACACAATTAGTTCTAGACCTATGTCCTGTTGTAACATAGATACTTCTAGAAGTTTTTATAAAAGTGTCCGTACATAATATTATCATTTAAAAAACTAATAATTTGCAGTGAATATGAAGTCAACATTCATGTAATAAAGCAGATTAAAATGAACTAGATCTAGATTAGATCTAGAAAAGTGCATGACATGGGACAATTATGAGTAAAAAAAGATTCGGTAAAAGTGCATTAGGTGCATAAATTATTAGACTCAATCATGTACAACAACAACAGGTTATTACTTGCGTTTGTAGCACAAACTGTTAGACCCAATTTAATGTACAACAATACATGTTAAATGAATAGACACTTCAAATATTGCCTCCTGGGTAAATTTCAGTGTTCATCAGTATCACTTTGTGGACCTGGACGATCCAGAGATGCACATGACACGTTGAGAACAGGTGGATGTGTGCTAAGCGAAAATTGGGCAGACAGTTCGGCACATCATGTGATCTCATTTGGCCTATCTCTAAGAAATTGTCTTTCGAAACAGATTTCGTGACGCGGTCATAATATGCTAAGGACTAGATCTAGATCTAGATAGAATATAGATCTAGATCTCTATATAATTATAATGGCTGGCTCTATTTGGTTGCATTTAAGGACAAGCGGGCTAACCCGGATTTCGGAGTTTTCCAGAAATTATCTTGACCTACACCAAAAGTGGGTATTGCCCTACATGCTATAGGAGAAGTTTGGTTAAATTGGTGTGTATATATAGAAAACACTCTTCTTGTCTTAAAGAACAGACTGGGCAAGGCAAGATCTGTACTCGTGTACAGAAGCATGATCAACATCTGGAAGTCAGGACAGTTAAGTATACAAACCAAGTTAAAGCTGTATAAACAGCTGGGTACTATCCACACTCATGGAGCTGAATGCTGGAGGATGACTGATTATGACCGGGCCAAGCTATCTTTCCTTTCATACAACCAGCTTACGCCAAATCCTAGGAATCTTCTGGCCCGACAAGATATCCAACGCAGATCTGTTACGTAAATGTAGGCAAGAGGATATGACAACCATAATAAAAAGGAGAAGGTGGAGATGGATTGGACATGTTCTGAGAAGAGAACCAGACTCTATTGTGAAGACTGCCCTCCACTGGACACTCGAAGGACATCGCAAAAGAGGCAGACCCAAAGTGACCTGGAGACGCACAGTAGAGTCTAAAATGAAGTTCTGGAATCATTCGTGGGGAACGCTGACCAAGATGGCCCAAAACAGACAGAGCTGGAGATCCTTTGTAGCTGCCCTAAACGCCAGATGGGGAAATGGGTAGTAAGTAAGTAAGATAAGTCTTAAAAACTGAACAAGGGGCAAAAACTTTACCGTCGATTTTCTCAAAACAGCTTTTTTCGGAATAGCCCCCACTTTTTAAGCTTAAAAGCACCATTTCTCCGTACGCTCTGGAAAATAAAGTGAACTCGACTATTTCTCCGAATGGTTTCCGTTCTCGAGATCGATTTGTTGATAATTAGCGAATGGATGGCCCGTGTGTGTGTGTGTGTGTGTTTGTGTGTGTGTGTGTGTAAGGTGTGATGGGGGGTGTGAAGGGATTTTTTTTTGTTTACATGAAGGATTTTAGTTTTTGCTTTAGATTTAGGGGTGACTAAATGCAAATTCTCGCAGTACCTTTTGAAGGAATCAAATGAAGTATATATATATATATATATAGTAGTCCGGGAACGTTACCCCAACCACAACTGAACTGAAGTAACTGAATATTCAGACATTTAAAGATTTCTAACTTTAGAAATTGAATTCGATGCAAAAAAAGCTTTTATCCTTGCTGAATGGCAGAATGAGAGATGACGCCTTCATCTCGCAAATAAACCAAAAATCTTGAGAACGGAAACCGAATAGGAGAAATACAGATCAAATTTATTTTCCCGAGCATTCGGATAAATAGTTACTTCGAATTAAAAGTATAGAGCTAGAATCTAGACCTAGAAATCTAGATGTAGATCTAGATATCTAGTAGATTTCTAGATCTAGACTAGTCTAGATTAGATTCTTGCACAAAACTGTAGATCTAGATCTAGATCTAGATATATATATCTAGATTCTAAATTTAGAGTCTAGATCTAGGGCTGGAAGACTTCCGTAACGAACGACCACTATGAGACAGAGCAGGTATCGAATTGAGGGCTTGGGCTTGGGGTAGGGGTAGGGATAGGGGTACAAGTACAAGGGTAGGGTTAGGGTTAGGGGTAGTGTTAGGGTGAGGGGTAGGGTTACGGAGGGTTAGGTCTTGGCCTCTTCTTTATTTTGTGTTTGATGGGGTGGTCGCTCGTTACGGAAGTCCACGTTGTAAAATTGCTGTTTGAGTTTGGGTCTAAATTACTCAAAATTAGGCTGATGATGTGCTACAGACGCAGGTATTAACGTGTATTGGGCCTAGACTAGATCTATACATTGGGTCTAATTCTAATGATGTCTAATCAAATCATGTCGTTTGAGGTACATAGATATAAGATAGATGTCTAGATCTAGATTAGATTCTAGATTATATTTGAATGAGTCTGGAGACTGGATTCTAGATCTATAAATCTAGATTAGATCTACTAATAAGATCTCTACCATAAATTCTGTAGACTTTTACTTACCTGTAAGTTTGACCACAGTGACCACTCATGTACAACAACAACTCTGAGTCTGACAGGACTTAAAAGCAGCTAGATCTAGCCGCACTGGTATGAAGGAAGACGCATTATTATAATAAGAATAGGAAATTCCCGGCCACCGAAAGTGAAGTACCAGAGTATATTTTAGTGTCTCTGGTACTAGGTATTTCCTTCCGCCCGCCACGCCATCTGTGTTTTTGACTTCGAAGTTCGAAGTGTATACAGACCACAGAATTCTACACTTATAGAACGGGAACTGTACCACGTGACCTGTGAGGAATTGAAGACCGAAAACAATGGCGTCTTGAGGGCACGATTTATCGTTTTCGGAAGTAACCCTATAGCTTTTAAAGCAAGGGCGGCTTTTACAAACGAGTGAAAAGTGGAACATTTACTGTACAGTTTGTAAATTTGAGTTACAGAATTCACTGTGCAACTAGAGATTAGAAATAAGGTTTTAAATTGTTGTGTTTTTGGGTGCAACAACAGAAACAGCAGACATGGAGAGTTTATAAATATAAGATCTACAGAACTGTGAAAAAATTCGTAACACGGATGGGATTGTTCACAGCACTTCTAGCTTCCCACACACATTTTGCATACGCATATAGCCTACGTAATTTTTTAGTAGCAAAACTTGTTACAAGAAATTTGTTTTACACTGAACATATTTTTTCACTAGATCTAATTAATGTTCTCAAAACATGCGTTCAATAATTAACTTTGTCGCCAGCAGAAGTAGAAAAAAGGACGGACTTGCTTTTAAAAGAGATTTACCTCCAGCTAAAAACCTTTTAAAAATCTGTAGAAACCATGACTGGGATTT